GGCCACCACATCTAAGGACTGTAAACTGCAACATATTACAGTCTTTTTCTTGGGTTAGTTATCCTTTAGCTTTTTTCTCAGAGAATAGGTGCAGCAACTCCTCCTCTGACACACCTTTTTCTCTGCCACCTACTCACCTCCAAGCACTGTCCCTTGGATTCACCCCCTACCCAACTTCCAGTACTGTCCCTTTTAGAGAATACAGAACCAAGTATCATTTTATATTTGTATAGAATGTGTTAATCATAACAATAAATGCAGTGAAATAGATCCCCCTGCAGCCAGCAACAATAGACCTCCCCAGAAACAATAGATTCACCCAGCAACAATAGACCCCTTGCAGCAACAACAGATCTCCCTGCTATTAGCATCAATAGACCCTCCAGCAGCCAGCAATAATAGACTCCTCCCTCAACAGTAGATCTCTCCCAGTAACAGATGACTCCCTAGAAACATAAGACGCCCTAGCAACAATAGATCCCCCACCAGCAATAATAGATCACAACCACGCAAAAATAGATCCCCACCAGGAACAATAAATGCCTAGCAACCAGCATCAATAGACCCTCTAGCACCCCTTACATATATTCAGTGCTGGAGGTGCTGGAAATGCGTTACTCCGCGTTCCCACTGAAAAAAAGTCCTGTCCTTTAGTATTTGGCTAAAAAGATGTTGGCTACTGGTTCTCTTTACACCCTGGTTCACACTGAGCACGTCCTGTGCATTTCCCACACCATATAGCAATTGCACTGTGTTCTGAAATTTGCTACCAGTGTCAACGGAAAGTTAGCAACACCCCAAAATAAGGTTACAAACGCAGTGCGTTTGCATGAATCGGATCGCATGGTTATAAACCGGTTCCAGTGCAAAAAAAAAAAAAGAAGCTGCCTGCACTTTTTTTATGCAGATGTGGTGCGATTTAAGCCATCCAAAATGCATGGGCTCAAATCACACCACACAGAATTGAATGTGATTTCCACAGGAATGTGGTGCGATTCTTGTGCGATTCCCATGTGGTTCACAGTGTGAATCTAGGCTAAATGTCAAGTCTGTACAAACAGCTGGCAGCACAGTGGCTAAATGGTTAGCACTTCCACCTGGCAGTACTAGGGTCGTTAGTTCAAATTCCAACCATGGCACCACCTGCCTGGAGTTTTCATGTTCCCCCTGTGCCTGCATGGGTTTCCTCCAGGTACTCTGATTTCCTCCCACACTTCAAAGACATGCTGGTAGATTAATTGTATCCTTTCTAAATTGGCCCTAGTATGTGTATGTGAGAGAGGGACCTTAGATTGTAAGCTCCTTGGGACTGATGTGAATGTACAATATATATATCTAAAGTTCTGTGTAAATTGATGGTGCTGTAATAAATATACATGATAAGTCAGTATTCAACAGGCCCTGGTGAGTTATATCATTTTTTAAAACCCTCAGGGCCTATTTGCACTTAGGGCTGATGTACACATTGGACTACATTATGGTCGTATTTTGTCACCTGGGATCCACAGGTGTTGCATACAGGCACCTGTACAAACTAAATTACAAGATATAGCTGTATACAGGTATACGCAGTTTTGAGCGGAAATACGGACGTATCCCCCCCCCCCCCCTCAGACCGGGGTCAGTAGGGGGTCCCATGAGATGCCCCTGGTACCTTTTTCATAGGCTTTTTTGAGTTTGGGCAAGGACACAAGGGCCCCATGATCCCCTATTGCCCGGGGGCCCCATGAGTTGTCAATCCGCCCCTGCTTGTGGCTCGTTTGCTGAAATACAGCCATATTTTATGTTAGATGGCCCAATATGTGTATGAGCCTCCTAGCATTCACTTTCTGTGTGTTTATGCACAGCATTAAAGCACAGGTTAACATGTGCTGCGTTAAGACAAACCATTCATTATGAAAGGGCTGCCAACACAGTGCAAAAGATGAAAAAACACTCCAGGCCTTTTTTTTTTTAAAAAAAACACAGCGCACCACAGTGCATAGTATATGTGTTGCGGTGCGCTGCGTTGTTTTGGGCTCTACTGCACTATGTACTAGGTGTTGGGGTGCCATTGATAGTAAATGGCACCACATTGCACCACATATAGAGCAGGAGTGTTGCTACAATTCACAAATGCAACTGGGACCTTAGAGATTCTTCACCTACATCCACAACGTGGCTGTTTTAAAATCTAGTATCCCCTTTTCCTCCGGTAAAGCTCTGCCCCCCCCCCCCCCCCCCCCTGTCCATTCTGCCCTTTAAAGCCCAGTGTCCTATGGAAGGTCCAGCAAGGCAGAGAGTAGCAACTATGATGCAATGGAACCTGACATGTGTGCTGCTATTTTTTACTATTACAGAAAAGTTCCTCCCACTGTTTACGGCAATGCTGGCAACTGTGCTGGTGGGATCTTTAAAGAAAATGAATCACGCATTCTAATGGGCGCAGTGGTGGGCTGCTGCCAGGATCTTCGATGGAGATATCCCACAGTAGGAAACCCATGGATTTATGACATAACGGTTGTCTATAGAGATTTTTGTCCATCCAGCTCATGGGATTTAGTAGCATTTATTGAAAAAGTAACTTGACTTGCTGGATGAACAGCAAGACCCATTACTTTTTTAATTACTGCAATTAAATAAAAAAAAAGCTGGTTAAAGTGTATGTAAAGCTAAAATGTTTATTTTCAGTTTTAGATACAGTAAAGAAGGGGTTTAACCCCCCCTTTTTTTTTTTTTTGCTGCCTGTGTCCTAGAAATTTTCTTTCACTTCTGGTTCTGGAGACACATCAGGAGGTGAGAAGATATATCTGCAAATTCAGGGGAATTCCGCTCTTAGCTTGGCCACACAATGAAGTTTAATGGATTCCTCCATACATGCTATATAGCATGGATAGACAAATCTCCCTCTGGGGCTAAAATATTCTGACAGCTGGTGCTACCATCTGTCAGAATCCCAGAACACTGAATGTATCTGATTGGATGCTGGCATTATTAGGCCAACCATTTTCCATCCGGCTCCTTCAATTTTTCAAGTGAAAGGATGTGGCGCGGAGTGGTGCTGACAGTGCCACCCACTGACTAAATTTCATCTGGTTCATCAAGAAGCAGCTGAAATTCGCTCAGTGTACGGCCAGGTTTGGACAACTGTCAATGGACAAGTGTCGTTATTGGAAGATTTAACCTCACCTCTTATTCTGGTGACAACTTTAAGTTTCCCAAAAACAGACAGTCCAAAAAAAAAAAAAAGGTTGCAGGTGTGACTTTTGGTGCATGTGGGAATACAGTCAAAAAAATGTCAAGAACTAGAAAAAAAATAGCAGCTAAATTCTCATTAACTGCCAGTTACTGCATAAAGCCGGACATAGATGGGGCAAATCTGAAGCTGCTGAGATTCGAACCATGTATGGGCAGACTGAACGTACCCAAGTTGATCGATCGATCAACTTGGGTACAACCAGCCTGTCGGATTTTACATGCAATTATATCCACTAGCAGTAATCACTGTGTTCTCCCAGCGGGTATGGCTTCCCCTGCTGGAGGAACACAATGGCTTCGCGGGAAGGATTGCCCATTAACACTGTGTTGATGGGGAAATCTAGAGATTTTCTTTCCTGCAACTCATGTTGCTGGAAAGAAAGTCGCTCCCTCTTTGACCAGCTTTAGTGTGCACATCTCCTACATAGAGCAACCACAAAAGTATAGTATAAAAAAAAAAAAAATCAAAATATAAACTAGATTTGGAAATAGGTCAAATCTGTAAGGGGGTCCAAGTTTACATTTTGAGAATATCTGTTTTTAATACTTTCTTAAGGTGGAGTAAAATGTTATATAGTATTGCTCCATTAATTCAATATCAAATAACATGGCAATATTGAGCTTCTTAAAGGGATACTGAGAAAGATGCAGTGCTGATTTGCGGTTTCTAGCTTCAATACAATTTGACTTACTGGCCAGCAACAAGTATGCAGCCAGGGAAGTCAAAACTCCTGATCTGCATATTTACTCCAGGTCAGAGACTCAGAAAGTATTGAAAGAGGCTCATCCTTATAATAGGAAACTAGGATTTTCAAACCGGAGATCAGCATTAGCATCCTCCATATCTGACGTGCAGTAGCAAATCAGCATATGTCTTTTAATTATCTGGACAAAAGCTAAAATCCCATTGGCTGCTATGGTACATTTTACATCTCTGTACTGCCTATTCAAATAAGCACACCATTGTAGTTTGATGTAAAAGCCATGGAAGCTCGAGTTACCAAACTATGTTGGAACACACAGGGTTAATGCAATTAGCATTCTTTTCAAAGCACACATACTCTATAGAAGAAAAAAAAGAAAAAAGAAAAGGCAAACAGGGAAAGCGATCTAAAAAATAGGTAAATATTTTTATTAACTGATTAATTCCATAAATAAATTCTTTAATTCATTGAATATAAAAATTAAAATCATTTACAATTTATTCCAGTATTACATTTGTCACAAAAAAAAGCTACATTTTGATAAATAAAAAAAAAAAAAAAAAAAAAAGTAAAAAAAAAAAAAACATTTCATCTAAACTTCTGTTTGCTGGAGAACTGTTGGATTGTGATAGCTGCCACAGATTAACGCTTCAGTAAGCGCGATCCATTAGGAAGGAATGTAACTTAACCTTTTCTCTTTTTTCCCAAGTTTACCAGTTTGGTCATTCAATAGAATTATGCAGAAACAACTCTGTTTTGTTTTGTTTTTTTAAAGGGACCAGAATACTTAAGAAGATAATTTACTAACAGCAAAAAAATAATAATATAATATTAATATAAACTGCTCCAAAAAAAGAAGCAACTTGTTTGCTCCAGTATTATGAAGCTGTAAATATTTTCAGCCTGTTGTAATGAAGTCCAGGTGGTAATGCATTCTAAGTCTCTAGTGCCACACAGTGTCCAAAGAAGGCATTGCAACGTCTTCACAACAGTATATTCCCATTTTTAAAAATAAAAAATTTCCTCAAGTGTGTCCATGTGTTGCTTTGCCTTTCAGGTTTAATCTCTGAATTTGTGGATGTCGTTGAATAATCTGTAGTAAGGGTAAGCTTCGTTGGCGTGTGGGCAGTTGTAGTTGCACCGGCAGGATTGGATCATCATAACATTCTTGGTGAAAGTTTCTCCATCTTCACACCTGAATCTAATTTTGACAGTCCGTGTCTGCTGTGGGGTGCAGCATCTGCTGTCCACGCAAGATCCACAATATTTGGGTCGGTATTTCTTCACGCTTGTGCAGCCGGCATAGCTGTATCGCACTGGAGCCTTAGCTTTTTTGGTTTTTGTGCATTTTTTTCCCTTCTGTAGAGTTAAGGGAAAAAGAAAATTCATCAGCAAGATATTGATTAAAGAAACGAAAAAGTACAAATAAAAAAAAGATAAAAGTGCAGAAAGTTACATATCAGTTGCAAAGAAAGAAAAAGAAAAGGAAAAGGAAAAGTAGAAAAGGGAAAAAAGGAAAAGTGCACAAAGTTACTAGTATGCTAAGGATCTTACCTTTAATTGTGAGTAGTTTGTCTCTCCACACGGCCGGACCTCGCAGATCCTGGTCTCTCGAACGAGTCTGCAATCTTTGTTGTCATTGGTAACTCTTGTTGAGATGCCAGTTCCGCATGTCTTGGAGCACTGGGACCAAGATGTGGTTTGGACAATACACTTCTGGGTCTCGACAACATGGGCTTGTGGATTGGAGCCAAATGCTGTGAAGAAGACAACACAATGCTTAGTGGATGCAGAATAGCATGCTGCATGGGCTCCCTGTCTACAATACTGACAGCTGTCAATCAATCAAAGTGCCGTCTGTCTAAATCTACTGCTAGGAATGACAGTTGGATATGAAAGCAGTTAAACCAAAAAACAAAACTCACCAGGTAGCATTTTGAGCCCTCCTTTCACAATAGGGACGAACTCGTTCTTGCTGGTAAGCTCTCCTTCATTAGCATCCAGACCAAATTCTTTGCTGAAGAAGTCTTCCATGTCATCGGCTGTGTCCCTGGCTTCATCACAAACCCACTCCTCGCAACACTGCCCGGGCACCTTCACCAACCTTGGATTTGGACATCCCAAGTTGGGCAGAGAGAGTTCTTGAGGGCACAAAGGAAGGCAGCCAACAGCCCCGTCTATGCATGTGCACTGGTGTTTGCAGTTAGGCTGAAAGCTTTCTCCGTTCTGGTAGATCCTTGAGTTGTATTCACAAGGTCTTCCTTCAGACTTTGCTGTAAAGGAAGCAAACAAAAAAAATTTTGAGATTCCTTGGAGACACGTAAACAAGATCACAATCCTTAATGTTAATCATGGAATAATGATTTGCTCATTTTGCTAGACCCAGACACTGAATTGCATTCCAGACTGCTGAAATCATGTGTCTTTCTGCCAAGCTAGCATCAACAAAGCATAACCATACATGGACTGAGATTCCCTAAACTCCTTGACTAGATAGAGCAAAAAGACTGCAGTTCTGCAAGGGAGGATTGGGGGGGGGGGGTTGATAGAAATTGGGGTGAACCCAGAAATCAACTCACCTCTGCAGATGCCCTTGGTGGCTCTGGAATTTGCCCCGAAGTTGCACTCCAGCCCCTTAGTGTGGTCGCATGGCTGGCTCTTGCTGCAGTCTTCGTTCAGCTGTTTCGCACACACCTTGCAGCATCCGCAGCTGTCAAGGACCAATCCAACTCCTGGGGCGCATCGGGGTACCTCCAGGGGACACTGGCACACGGCCGGGCAGGATGAGAACGCCTGCGGGTGAAAAACAAAAGGAATGTTAAGCCATGAGCAGAAGACATTACAGCATGTGCACAGAAAGGCAAGATTATTGAAACATTCTGCAGCTCTATATACGTCTACTCACCAAGTCTACGAGTCCGGTGAGGATGGCCACGATCAGAAGAGGGCTCATTCCTAGGAAAGCCATAGTTCCTCTAAAATAAAAGTGCTGGGAAGTCCGATGCAGCTTTCTTGTGCTGTGCTTATGACTGGTGGCAGTGCTTGTACTGGTCCCAGTCTGGAGTTGGTGCCTCTGCTCTCTGAGCTGCTCCAGGCTCCCTCCTTCTTATATAGGAGACGGCCGAACGTGACGTCACCGCTGCCTAAGTTCCACATTCACAAAACATCCCAGGAATGCGGCTGGGCTCGAACCGTGGCCAAGACCCTCCCCGTCTAATGGGAGCCTGACTGTGTCTCCCAAGGAGGGAGAAGAGACAGAGAGGGGGAGTGCAGCCTCACCAGCAGACAGGAAAAGGCTCCTAGTCTGCCTTTAGGAGGAGGGAAAGGCACCCAGACCAGCATCACTTATTTACAGGGAGCTCCATGCAGGCAGCACAGTGGAGAAAATTGCCTGTATTAACACTGGCAGCAATGGTGTGAATTAACTCACCCAACCCCCACCCTATGATATGCTTTGCAAAAGTTTAAAATGTATCTAAACCCAAAAACTCATTCACACCAATTGCACTTTTCTGCACTAGATAAATGACAGTCACCATTACAGCACATTATTATTATTATTATACAGTATTTATAAAGCGCCAATAGTTCGCTCAGCGCTGTACATTACACATGGAAAACAATTGTTTTCTATGTACCGCGTTCACACCATAACGCAGGTGCATTTTTCCATGTTGCTGCACTGCACACACATAAATGAAGTGTCACTATGTTACCCTTCAAATAAAGTTTTTAAAAAATGAAAAAAAAAAAAGTAAACAGTGCGATGCACTGAAGCGTGAATTGTAGCGCTCCCTGCTGGGGTTCACAGGCACAGCTGCTGTGTTTTACCATGCAGGCTAGTGTGAACCTAGCCTAAATGCCAGTTCACACCTCATGCAGTCCAGTGCCATTTGTTTTTTTTTTTTGCTGCATTTTTTTTTCTGCACTGAACTGTACTGGAACACGGCAAAACACATTAAAAAAAAACATACCGGAACATATCAAAACTCACCAAAAAAGCACCAGAAGGCACATGTCCTCATTAACCATTTGGTGTCAGCCGCCTCCGAGCTCTTTAAGGGTTCTAAGGGTCTTGTGAGCACTGTGATTGGAAGTCACAGCAGTCACATGATTGGAGAGCTCCCGATCGCAAGTATGCATCGGGAGCTTACTGATCACTGCTGGTTACTGTGCTGGGAGTGTGCAGGGATCACGCTCTTAGCGTGGTAAGTAGTTTTAACAGGGCTAAAAATATGCGGCCACTCAGTGTCAACAGGTTAAGGTAAAGAAAAAAGAATAGGGGAAAAAAATGCACCGGAACACATCAAAAGCGTGTTTGCAGAAACGCATCTAGACTGCATTTCTATGGTGTGAACCGACCCTTAAAGTGTATATAAACCCTTGGGTTTGGTTCATAGCTATGCATGTCAGGAACGCATGCAAAATTGCAAGTTTCCCATCACGCACAAAAGCCGTCCCTACCAGGAGAACATAGTGATTACAGCTAGTGGCTATTATAGCTGCTAGCAAAATCGCATGTAAAACCTGACAGGCTGGTTGTACCCAAGCTGATCGATCAACTTGGGTACATTCAGCCTGCTAGTACATGGTTCGAACCTTGGTCAGTTCAGCAGGGACCGGCCAAGATCCAAACAGTCTATGGCCGGCTTAAGGTGTGAAAATTATTTCAAGGGTTCCTCAATGGTAAAAAGGTTGAGAAAGGCTTAGGATCTCTAGGCTTTTTTTTAGTTTTGAGTAAAGTGGAGAAGAGTTGGACCAGCCTTTCCCAACCTTGAAATATTTTTGAGGTCTTGGGGAACAATGTAATTGATAACAGTCAGCACAGGCAGAGAGCACACAATGTTATCAGCTGACAAGATTGATTTTTAGCAGGATCAGCAGGTATGTTTTAAATGGTACAGCGTGGTCGTCCAGTTCTCAGAGGGCGTCATATGATGTCCTCCCAGAGCACGCCCCCAGCGGCGCGCACCCGGCACTGTCTGTAATCACTGTGTCCTTTGGACACAGCTGATCACATGACATGGTAAAAAGGCAATTACAGCGGCCTTTTACCATGTGATCAGCTGTGTCTAATCACAGCTGACCACCATGTAAATACACATGCTGGTTATCGGCAGTACTTTCCTCACGCTGTCACAGCGTGAGGAAAGTACTGCAGATAACCGGCAACTGTAAAAGGTGACATCTGCACTGATAATCAGGGCACTGATTATCAGTCCAGCCCCAAAAGTGACAATCAGTGCCCAACAGTGCTGTCCAGCAGTGTTGCCAATCTGTGCCCGGCAGTGCTGCCAGCCAGTGCCATCAGTCAGTGCTGCCAGTCAGTGCCCTTCAGTGCTACTTATTAGTGCCTATCAGTGCCACCTATCAGTGCCCATCAGTGCATATCAGTGCAGTAGCATCAGTGCCTCCTCATCAAGTGCCACCTCGTCAGTACTGCCTATCAGTGCCTATCAGTGCTGCCTATCAGTGTAGCCTCATCAATGCACATCAGTGAAGGAGAAAAATTACCTTTTTGCAAAATTTTGTAATAGAAACAAAGAAAACCTTTTTTTTTTCAAAATGTTTGCTCTTTTTTTGTTTATAATGAAAAAAAATTAAACACCCAGTTGTGAATAAATACCACCAAAAGAAAGTTCTATATGTGTGAAAAAAAATGATAAAAATTTCACATGGGTAAAGTGTTGCATGACTGCGCAATTGTCATTCAAAGTGCGACAGCGCTGAAAGCTGAAAATTGGCCTGGGCGGGAAGGGGGTAAAAGTGCCCTGTATGGAAGTGATTAAAGCAAAAACTAAGGCTCTTTTGAGCAGACTGTGGGCAGGCAGGCTATTATGCAATGTCTTTTATGATAAAATACACCTACCTGCCTGCTCACAGTCTTCTGTGGAATGTAAGCTGAGCTGTGGATGACTGACTGCAGATGCATGCACAGGAGTTATGTCATCCTGCGCCAGCCTATAGAGATGCCTGAAAACCAGCACCCAGGGAGAAAACCATTGGAAGGAGGTAAGTTTAGTTTTATTCTTTTGTTAACAGGCCAAAAATGAGCCAAGATGTTTATTTGTGGCATTTACATACACTTTAAGGCTCCATACACACTAGCGTTCTTTTAACCTCTTGGCGCAAATGTGTGGTCTCCTGGCGTCTGGGCCTAGACACCGAGCGGCTGCACATTTGCCTTCTATTTAAAAAAAAACATATGTTCTGAGAGCGCGCGCCCTGTGCACTCCCAGCACACATGTCCGGTACTCACGGAAAGGTCCCGATCTCCTCTTTCGATCGGGACCTTTCCCGATCATGTGACTACCGTGACAGCGTGTCACGGCAGTCACATGACCCTAAACTCTGCCCCGCCTCCCGGCATCTGAAACCCTTAAAGGGCCGGGAGGCGCCGGCGTCAAGGAGTTAAGCTGAAAAATTGCTGGAAAAAAACGCCGGTAATAGCGTTTTTTTAGTAGTGTTTTAGTAGTGTTATAGAGGCGTTCAGAAGCATTTAGGAGCTTTAGCATTTTTACTGTACATGTAAAGGAAAAAAAATAAAAGGTAGAAAAATCTGTTAGCAGTGTTTTATTAGCGTTTTTTTTCTGCTGGAAAAACGCTCCAAAAAACTCTACAAAAACATTTTTTTTTTACTCCTAGACGCTGAAGCTTAAAAATGCCAATAGCCTAAAAACAAAGGACGACACTATTTAGCTTCTAGAAGCAGAAAAAAATGCTAATAACAGCTACTAGGAGCTTAAAAAACGCTAGTGTGCATGGAGCCTAAGAGGATGACTCTTGGATTTGAGAGTCAGAGCTGAGAGTCTTTTGGAGGTTTGATCATTACTACCCCGTCAACTGCCTTAGGCTGGCAATAGGCTATGCAATTTTCTTTCAAGAAAATCACTAAATTTTTCTATAAACACAGTCAGTGTTGATGGGGGAATCCCTCCCGCTGCAGGAGGTTTCCCCACCATCAGAATACAATGATCACTGCCAGCTGCTATAGCAGGCTGGTTGTTCTGAAGCTGATTGATAGATCGATTTCAGTACAACCAGCCTGCCCAGAGATGGATCAAAATTCAGCTGGTTCCTACTGAACCAGACAAATTTCAATTCATCTATACCCAGCTTTAATTCTTGCTCACAAGTTGTGTCTTCCAGCTCCTAGGTCCATAAGTCACCAGTCACACACTGCTGCGATTTAAAATCGTGCGATTTGTATGCAATTTCAGCGTGATTTCTGGTGCGATTTCTCAAGACTTTATTCCTACTTGTGAAAATTTTCAACAATTTCTTGCAATTTGCAGTGTGATTTCCATTATATTCTATGTATATGAAATTGCAACAAAACTGCAGAAAAAGTAATGCAAGAACTACTTTAGAAATTGCGCTGCAGAAAGTCGCACATGTCAAGTATATACTGTCATTTGTAGACGCTATAACTTTCACGTAACCAATTAATTTACGTGTATTGGGATTTTGTTTTAGCAAAGACATGTAGCAGAATACATTTTGGCCTAAATATATGAAGAACTTAGATTTTTAAAAAATTTTTACTGGAAATGTTTTATAGCAAAAAGTCAAAAATACTGTTTTTGTTTTTTTCAAAATTTTTGGTCTTTTTTTTGTTTATAGCACAAAAATTAAAAAATGCAGAGGTGATCAAACACCACTGAAAGAAAGCTCTATTTGAGGATGAAAATGATAGAAATTTCATTTATGTACAACGTTGCATGGCCACGAAATTGTCAGTTAAAGTAACGCAGCGACGTATCGCAAAAAAAAATGGCCTGGTCAGGAAGGGGGGTAAATCCTCTGGAGGGCAAGTGGTTAAACATTGCAGATAGCAGTTAGACCCCTGGTGCCCAATCTGTGGCCCATGGTATATGATGTGCATCCCTCAGACCTCAGCAGTATGTAGTGGGAACATTGATTGGGGTAACAGCATTGATCTCTACTATCCTCATGTACGATGTTCTCAGTAATGTTCGCTGCAGCATATCCCCGCCCAAATATGTAGCATATCCACACTCTCTGACCATTTTCTCTATTGGGTCTGCAGTCTCTGACAGTTCTCCCAAGCAT